TGTCTCAGTGAGTGGACCAGTCGATTTGTCCTCGCAACACTTCGGACAGCAGCCCTGCCGGGGCCCTGCCCGGCCGGGTGGCTCCTGTCAGCGAGTGGATCTCCTCTGGGAGGCTGGCGGGGCTCCACCCGCGCTGCTGACGGACAGCGTGGGAGCGGGGAGGAATAGATAGGGGGGTGGGGGGTCCTCACTAGCAGCACACTAAGCCGCGTGGGAAGTAAGCCTCTGTCGAACTGTCGTCGTCTCGTGTATTCTCTCTTGCTCTCCCTTACGCTTCCTCTCTCTTTCTCACCCCTCCCCCCACCCACCCCCTTTTATTCGATCTCTGACTGTTTGCCTTTATCTCCTTGGTATCCCCCCGCAGGTGAAGGAGGTGGCCCGCGACCGCTACAACTACACGTTCGGCCCGGCGCCGGTGTCGGCCTTCGTGTCGGCCTTCTACGACGCGGTGCTGCTGTACGCCCTGGCGCTCAACGAGACGGTGCGCGACGGCGGCGACCCCCACGACGGCAAGGCCATCACGGAGCGCATGTGGAACCGCACCTTCAACGGTGAGTGTCTCGTCATTGTCAGTGAGCGCTGCGAGCGCTGCGCTCCGCCGGGCTTCGTTATGCCGCACTTTGTTGCCGCCCATTCAGCACTCCGGGCGCCGCTACTTGTCAGGGAGGTGGGCTCCGAGGACACGCAGCGGTGAGCCGGGGGGATTGTGCCCGGAGAGAGAGAGAGTGAGAGAGACACGTCTTACCCAGCGCCTCTCTCTCACTCTCTCTTCGCAAACTCTGGCCCGGGGCGGCGCTAGAGGAGCCCGATGCTCCCCGGCAGGGCCCTGCTGCTGCTCTCGGTTGTTGGGGCTGCTTTGAGCAGGGTCGGTTCAGTTCGGCGGCGGTACCGATATCCTTGATCTGCCTTTGGAACGTGCGTGGATGGGCGGGAGCGGGGGCGACGGGCGGGATGGAAGGGAGGCCTTCGTCGGACACAGTCGGGTGGAAAAGAGGTTCTCCGGCGGAGCGGCAGAGCAAGGGTGTCGTCGCCTCTGGGGGAGGGGGAAGGGAGGGAAGGAGGGGGATGACGACCGAGCGCGTCCCCTTTGCCTAACTACGCGAAACTTGCGCTTTTCGCAGTAGCATCTTTTCCATTATCCCTGCGGTCGTAGTGGGGGCGCGCCGGGGCGTG